TGGAGGAGGAGGGGGAGGAGGGGGAGGAGGTGGTGGTGGAGGAGGAGGAGGGGGAGGCGGAGGCGGAGGAAGTGGTGGAGGTTGGGGTTTTGGCGGCGGAGGGAGTAGGAGTTTTTGTTGGATATGGGGATGTGGCGGCGGTGATGGGAGGAAAGCAGGGCCTAGAAAAGAAGGCCCGAGAGAGTAGCGAACTTATATTACCATTAAGATTTTGCTCAACATTTAATCCCTTGAAAAACAACCAAACCTTATTGTTCCTTAAAACTAAGTTTCCAAGTTTAGGATTTTGCATTATCACAAAGAATAAAGAAAAAGAGAGATTTAGGGAGGGACGTCTCATTGTAATACTAATATCATCTTCTTTGATTGATCAATGATAATAAAGTAGGGTGTTTTTTTTTACTTTATTCAATTCGATTAATGCTAACGTTAAATTATCATGGGCACAAAATAAATATATCATTATAATTCTATACCACTTAAAACGTGATATGTGAAATTCCTCACTAATGGTAGAAGAATAATGAAACCTGCATCACAAATATGTGAAATTCTCTCCGTAATAGACTCGTTTGGTAAGTTTATAAGGAAAAGTCTACCATTAAAAATGATATCAAAACTAGACAACGAATGGTGTGCAAGCGAGAACGGTGGACGCACGCTTTGGGGTTATGAAATAGGGTGGGAAGCATAGAATAATGAATTGAATTATTTAAGAAAGAATTTAGGTGTGTAGAGAGAGAAAGGGGAGGGAGTTGGGGGCATCTCCACGCACGTGAGAATGATTAAAAGGGAGAAGGGCAAAGTGGGGAAAAAGTGGACCACAAATTCAAACAGTCTTGAGTGGGGTGGGGGTGGGGCCCGCTTATTCTTTTGTCCTAGTGGCTGACACTGCTTGCCTTCTTCCTTCACATCATATTTATTGTTTTTTCTCTAATACTTCATTTCTTTTCACCTATAATAATAGGCTTAATTTACAAATTTAGCCTTAAACTTCCTACTTATTTACTCTTTAAATTTTAAAATTAAATCTAAATTATTTCAAATTTATATTGAAGACGGCGTTAATGTTTGGAAGATAACGACAAGAAGAAGTTAGTGACACGTGTTGGACAAAGCCTCCCCCTTCTCAAAATGTTCCATTTCAAGATTCCACACACAGTTGAGCACTGCCACAGCGTACAACTTACGCAATATCTTACTTTAAAAATATTAATAATAATAATAATAATTTGGAAAAATTGGACAAAATTATATAAGAAAAAAAAAAGGGAAGGGATAAATATATTAATAAAAGCTGTTGTAATTTAATTGGCAACAAGCGCCGATGACCTACCGCACCTAATGAGGCTCCCTGAAAATGACATTTTTTTTACACACTGCACCACTAAACTTAAACCGGGTTCGTCTATTCTGGTTCTTTTACACTACTCCTACGGGGTTGGGTCTGGACCGGAGTGGGCCGTCTCCGTTTCCTTTTTCTGTCGCATCTCCAGTACTTTACGGTGGTGGTTTGAATGAAGCTCGCTCGAGAACGTCGGGCTACAAGCCGGTCTATATTCGGGAAAAAGCCGCCCGGATTTGAACCGTACGCCGCACGCATTACACAGAGTCTTGGACCCCAGCGGACCAGCTCGCCACTGTGGGGTTTTTTGAACGCCGCAATGGCTACACCGCCGCGGCGCCAGCACCCTGCCGGAACCTTCCTCTGCTGGGTTTTTCTTTGGTTTCTTCGCCTGTGGTGGGTATAACGATGGAGAAGAAATTGAATTCGTTAATGACCAGACTCGGCCGGGGATTTTTGCTCGCTTGCTTCTTGGCTTTGAGGGAAATGGGGTGTTGAGATTAGATTCAAAATTCGGATGGGTGGGGGCGTGGTGGGTTGGTTCCTTTTGGTAACTATTGGGTTTCTCTGTCAAAAAAACAGAGCAGTTCAGTGGTGCGGCAGAGTATTCTTCTTGGGTGGAGTCGGCGACGAGATGGGAAAGCCATTCGAGGTCTTCAAAATCTCTTGAAGAAACAGACCAAAAGACATCTCCAGAGGAATTGGTGGAGCTGTGGTTGGAATTTTCGTCGCTCTCACGGTGTTGTTGAAGTTGCAGGGGAGCAGAAACAGAGGAATGGTTGTTTTTCTCTTCACCCTCTGCCTCCTCCTCCTCCTCCTCTTCTTCATTTGAAAAGTTGAAAAGTTGGTCTACAAAAATGTAATCGGAGGAGGGGGATGCAGAGCTTTGCGGGTTTGCAGACCGAAGCTCATCCAAATGAAGTTTGGGGCTGGGTTTGTTGATGAGACCCATCTTCAACGCAGCCTCCATGCATTCAATTTCCGTAGACAAGCAAACCTAGCAACAAAACAAGAGAAGAATTTGCAGAATGAAAAACGTAGGAAACAAAGAGAAAGGGAAATGGAAGAAATGGTGAATTGGGTAAAAGTGTACAGCATTTAATGAAGGGAAGGAATGGCGGCGAGACCTCGGCGTTGGTCTGAAACTGCCCGTTTCTCCTTTTATGGGACTGCTTTCTTTTCTACTCTGCTATCATGGATCCTACGCATGGAACCGATGGGTGAGGGTGGTTGGGAGAATAAAGGAAGAAGGCAAAGCCATCCATTGTGAGAGTGGGCGCAACAGCAAGTGGGGGAGGCAGAGTTTGTATTTGGCCATAAGTGATAAGTCCCTTTATACAAACTCCACCCAAAACAAACAACCTTAACCCAATTCTCTTTTTCCCCCCCTTACATGTCTAAAATTTCAAACACTTCCAAAACATTTTCATGCACCCTTCATAAATACAATCTGGATTGCTCGTCTTTTACAAAAGCAGTAGAGATAGAAAGAATTGTAGGAGATGAAACTGACAGAAACAGAAAGAAGTAGCCGTTGAGGAGATTTGATGAAGTGAAATTAAGATTGAAAAAGTGGGTGTTCTTTTTCTTCTTGTAATCTTCTGCAAAACTGGGAATCTTCACAAAGTCCCAAGAACGAGTACAAAGGGACAGTAAAAGGAGACTGTTTTGTATTGACTTTACGTGCAGAAAGAGGGAAGGGATAGGGATGGCTGTGGATCACAGGTACCCCTTCAACCATGCTTCAGAGTTCTTCTTGTTCATAAGAACATAATGCGACAGATTAATAGAAATTTAAACAGTTTTGATCACAATTAAGATGGTTTTGAATAGAGGGAGATGAATTTGAGTTGATATTATAAGAAAACTTATGCCCAATTTGTGGACATATTTTTGTAACATTATGGATAATCCTAACAATTTGTGGACTAAAACTCTCTCTGTTTCTCTAATGGAATACTCTCAGTTTGGAAGCAGCTGAGGTATGTGCCTAGTTTACATACTGCAACTCTTCCAAAGATTGTAGCTGGTCTACAAATCTCTGTAGAGGGCACTTCCATTAGATGGGTGCGTGTTTGTGTACAAAATCAGGAAGACTCTGCGTAGATATCTGGTCGCCAATTGCCTTTCTGAGCACTCAGCAGCCCTTCCTGGTTTTTGGAGAAGGTCAAGTGAACTTCCCAACGGAGAGACTTCAACATGTTCTCCACTTCTCCGATCGTGCTGGACTCATCTCGGACGATCAATTTGCCTCCAGGTCTTACGATGCGGTCGACCTCTGCTAAGACAGGAGGCAATTTGCACCTATACAAGAGAAAAGGTCAGGCTTGAATCTTTATCTATGCACTAGAAGCTTAAAATGAGGAAATGTTGGAGTATCTTATTCTACCTCTTTTTCAACTTTGAGAAAAGATGATCAGCGTGTAGAAGATCATATGTTCTTGGATATGTGCTGAAGGATTCACACCAATCATGGTAAATGCCGAAGAGACCGCGCTCGTAGATCACCAGAAGCGTATCGGGAGAGTCTACATTCACTACGTTAATTACCCAGACTTTAAGGTCTCTCAGAGCTGCTGCAAATCTGCAAGGACAATGTTGAAATGTTTCGAGTCGAAAGTATAAGTTTTGTGGATGAGATAAGAAGAAACAGAAGGATTTTCTCATACCCGCCATAAACAGATCTCATATCCATCACATTCCTGATGTTGGACAAATTTATGCCTAATCCATTCATGTAAGTTTTATTCACAACTCTTTTCCAATGTTCATAATCAGTTGAGAAATCTTGAGGAGCTGGTTTGCCATAAACGCCCATCTGGGAGCTGTTTAGCCAGTAAGGAGGTGCTTGCAACCTCTGAGGCCATTGTTTTGGCCAGTTGCTTCCCCTCGCTGCATTGTCAACCGGCACACGGTGCATACATGCTTGCAATGGCACATACCTGAAAATAGAAGTCCAAATGCTAAATCAAATCAAACCCATTGAACACAATTAAACTTGAGATGTCCTGAATGCTCACTTACCATGCTGCGTTAGGATCGTCGTCGTTTTTGCACATGGAAGGACGCTTTTCGTTTCTTTGATCGTAGCATTCGTTTGAGGTTGGTTTCCTGTAAATGGCAGCTCCAATGGAGTTCAACTTGTCCTTCTGAATTGTCATAAGCTCCCAACACATGGACTTTGTCAAAGCAGACATTTCTGAGGGAAAAAATAACCAATGAGCATTCAAGTGGCCAGCGAGGTAGATATCTAAGAACGCTTCTGAATCTATTTGTTTGTTGAACATGTTCTGTTTCTTGTCTATAAACTTACTTACCTTTCCAAATCTCAACGTCTTCTTCTAGGGTCTGGTACACCGGAGTTGCAGACCAAACAAAAAACCCTCCCGGCCTCAGCACTCGGTTCAATTCTAAGAGAAGCATCCCACCTGCATCGGCGAAAAGAAAACGTCTCGATTTCCCAACTGTCGAGCTGTAATTATAAGTTAAGAAGATTAGAGAAGTCCATGGTTGATTATATAACCTTGTTCATGCCAAGGCACTCTGCATCGAGCGCAGTGAATAAGATCAAAAACCATGCTTGGAAATGGCAGACGCTGTGAGCCCATGACAGCAGAAATGGCTGGAATTCCCCTCTCAAGGGCGAATTGGACTTGAGCTTCATGCTCGTCTTTCGGTGCAAACGACATTGCAAGCACGTCTTTCTCGAACAGATAGCCGCCGAAGCTGGCAACTCCGCAGCCCACGTCCAATATCACTCTTGTCTTCTTTCCCCACTCAATATCAGGTAAAGACTACACTCATTTCATATCTTAAGTTATATTGGATCTAATATTGAAATCAAGAATGGAATTTGATTTTGATGCCAAGTTGGAGATCATTTTTTTCTTACCTGTTGAAGAAAATCTATGTAGTGTAGAGCGCCGTGGATGAACTGAGTACCACCGCCGGGAAAAGTCAAGAACTCGCCGGTAACCTTGACCCAGTTTTGGTGGCCTTTCACCTCGGCAAGCTTTGTGCGTGGTACATTGTGGTACCAAATCTGTGGCAATTCACGAACACGGACAGCTCATGATATGATCCAATTCAGACGGATTCGTCAAATAGTAATCACAAATCACAATGTCATCTATCTACATATCATTACCTTGTCCCTACTCTGAGGCCATTCGATGGATGTTTTGTAGTTCTCCGGGAGGGAAACCAGGCATGTGGGTCCCTCCTCCGGGCAGTGTCTCTCCCGGTGCTCGAAGTGCTTTGTCGTTCGCAGCTTCTTAATGGCTTTCTCATTATCTAAACAGGGGATGTAATCAGCCCCTGCCGTGACATTGCAGAGCTTCCACGTGTATCCGTAGATGCTACCGTCGCTGCTCGATTCTTCCCTCCGGCGATCATTCTCGTTCTCCGATTGCGCAGCCTGTGTCGACCACGATTTCTTAGACTCCTTTGACTCCTTGGGTATCACCGAGCTCTCAAGTGACCCTGCTGTGGTAGTCTCTTCCACTTTGATTTCCGTTTTTGTTTCCTTTGAGGCTTCTTGGCTCCCCTTGGATTCAGTTCCCTGTGATTCTTGATCCTCGGTCGGCTTTTTACTATTGTCGCTCGTGTTCGAGTTGTCCTGTTCTTGTTGCTGTTGTGTCTCTTGTTGAGCCTTGTCATCATCCTGGTTATGAATTTCGGGTTCTTGCGGGACTTTTTCGGGTTCAGATTCAGGTTTCTGTTGATCATTTTGAGTGTCTCCACTGTTTTCTGGTACATCGGTTGCAGGTAGTTGCTCTTCGTTTGAAATCGCTTGTTGAATTTCTTGTGAATTAGCGTTGTTTTCAGGCTCCTCCTGTATTTGCTTTTGTTGTTCTTGACCATCAACTTGCAAAGGCATTTCATTGGATTTGGCTTCCAAATTCTCCGTGGATTCATTGCTTTGTTCTTGGCTCCCTCCTGAATCTAATTTGTCCTCTGTTTTTTGGGCGTCATCCCGTTGTTGATTTCGAGTCATTACAGTCTCCTCCAACAATTGAGCCTCATTGGCGTCTCTCGACTCCTGGTCCTTAGAACCATCATCGGCGATAATATTAACAGCGTCATCGGATTTAATAGCATCGAGAGGGAGATCACCGGGATTATCCTCGAACACGGAAGTGGCATCCTTCTCTTGGGATTTGGGGAGTTGGGTTTCGTCGGAAGAAGTGCGAGTTGTGGACGGCGGGGGAAGAACGGAGTTGGAGGTGAGCATCCATACTCCGAGAACGCATAAGGATAAGAAGACGAGAGTCGTAACAGTGGAGGCGTAAGAGGAAGAAGAAGAAGAGGACGATCGCTTGCTACCACGAGGCCTTCCGAGAGCCATAACAGAGTGGCAAAAGGTGAAAAAAGGAGGAAGTTGGAGATTGGGTATGGCGAGTGAGAAAGATATAGTAGTATGGGAAGAGAGAAAAGGATGGAGAAGACAAAGGATTCTAAATTTAGAAGCTTCGGAGATCCAAAAGACTCGGAGAGAAGACATGTTTGTAAGGGGACAATTGTCCATTCACAAACTTCCTGTTTTTGTGCCTCCGCCTTTGCATGTATTGCATGCACCCTTCTTTTATCTCCCACCACCTTTTCTTTTTATTTATTTGTTTTATTATTATTATTATTATTAAATCAGTGGGCCGTGGGCCGAATCAGTAAAAAGAGAAAGGCCCATTAGAAACCCAGCCCATTCAATAGGAGTTGGCCGAAATGAAAAACAAAATTAGGAACATTAATATTAAAAGCTCTAAATTCCGACGTGGATTCTTATTTCCTCGTAAACTAAAATGACATTTTCTTCTTCCTTATGACTCACTTAAAATATCAGTAAAAAAAAAAATCTTTCGGTCACGTTGATGTTAAATATATGTAATATTCCTTATAAGGGTGTAGAAACCTCTCCCTAATAGATACGTTTTAAAATTGTGAGGTTGACGGTGATACATAACAGGCAAGCGGATAATATTTGATAGCAGTGGGTTTGAGTTGTTACAAATGGTATTAGTGTTAGCGAGGATGCTAGGCCCGTAAGGAGGATTGTGAGATACCACATTGGTTGAAGAGTGAAATGAAACTGCGAGATCCCACATTGATTTGAGAGAGGAACGAGTGTAACACGATGATTGTGAATGAGTATTAAAATAAGAATAGGAATATGCAGCTGTTTATTAGCATAAGAACAATAATTAATTATAATTGAAAGGTTTTAACTAAAGTAGGCCATCATAAGAAGAAGAAGAAGAGACGCAGGCCAATGAAATATGAAGATGTCCATAATTAAGCCATTATAATGGGAATTTGGCGCAAAGCTCGATGAGTCAACGACCTTAATGGCCCTACTTGCTCATCGTAGGGACTATCATCAAATCTATACTACCAGTTTGTTGCTTTAAGTTTAAGCTGCCTGCCTCCTCCAATGCCTACCATAACGCATTAATTATAATCATCCTTTTTTCTTCTTTTTTTTTTTTTTTTTTTTATTTATTTTTCTACCATGCAATTTTTTTTTTAAATAATATAATATAATTTTAATGTAACATTATTCTTCTCATATATTATGTGATAGTGTTTGTTCCTTTCAGGCTTAGAAATCAATATCTTGATTTTATGTCAAAACAAATCCTTATTCTTTTCATAAACTTAATGTGAGAATATAAATTAAACAAAATTTTATTCGGATTCTCAATAATTAAGATTGAGTGTGCAATATAAACTAAACCCACTTCATTTAATTGCCTATTCAATAAGCTTGTCAAACCAAACCACAATTGTAGGACTTTGATTCTTTCTTACGTTAATTGAATTACCTTAACCATTTATTACAGTTTAATTACGACCTATGACCAACAAAAACAACCTCATGTTTTGTTTTTTTCTTTTCATTATTTATCTACTCATAACTATTTCAAACATATCAATCAAATATTCAAATCTTCTTCGTTGAATTAAAGAAAACTTTTAAGAAAGAAAAAACGTTGAAATAGGAATCTTTGTCTTTTTAGCAAATAGAAAGAAGAAGAATGTGAGCATGATGAGGAACCTTAAAGAAGAAGAATGGCATCTACTTTCACAACATCAAGAATTTGTTGTATAACTCAAAATAGCATCTACCCTTCTTAAGAATAGGTATTTCTCATAGACTCTTGACACTTTTTTGTAATCAGTTATTTTGTTCCCCATGTTTCATATTATATTCCAAAACCCATATAAAATTTTCAATAGTTAATCAATTTGAGCATTGCTTAGTTGATTAAAGACGTAAATAACGAGTAAGTAATAGTAATGGAGAAAAAGGGAGTGTCCCAAAAAAAAGTGAAGAAAGATTTGAAAGATTCGTTTTAAGTCTTTGATTAATAGGAGGTAAGCTAAAAAGAAAGGTAAGGTAGGTGGTGTTCACACTTTAGGACCCGCCTAACTCCAAATAATTTGATTTGAATGAATCAAGTATGAGCTACACTCACTCACTCACTCACTCACTCTCTTCTGTTGCACTAAAGTTATGCATACTTAGAAATGAGGGAAGTTTTGTAGGGTATACAAAATGAGGTTAAAAAGAAGAGCATGAAACGGTGAGAGAGTGATCACATGGGCTACCAGTTTCCAATCCAATCCAATCAAACCCCAGCCCCCGACAGTGACTCATTTGCTTCCCATTTTTGCATTTCAAAATGGGTTCAGGTTGGTAAACTTTGGGATTTGTTCGAAGGAGCCAGCCGGCAGGGCAAGGGGCTGGGGCTGGGGCTGGGGCTTCAGCTCTGGTAGTCAACCATGGGAACAAACACAAGGCTCGAGGAAGAAGACGACAGCCCATTCATTCACTCATTCATTCATTCATTCATAAGCTTTTAAAACGCTTATTGGGACTCCCACAAATCATTCACTTCTTCTCTTTCTTTCTTTCTCAGCTTTTCAAACCAAATATGTAAATATATATATATATATATATTTAATAAAAAAAAAAAGAATTTAAATTATTGAAGATTTTGAAATTAATGTTATAAAGTAAATAATAGGTTGGTATTTTTAGAAAATAAAAATGGATGTTTCCTCTTTAGGGGATGAATTCTGGTAGCTCTTTCCATAGCAAACACTATTGTTGATAGATAGCACGCACAATATTAGTTGCCAACCTGCCTCCAAAAGCCTGACAATGACATCTTTTTTTACTTTTCTTTTTTTTTTTCAATAAAATTAAAAAAAAAAAAATAGCACTTGGTTTAAATTTAAAATTTAAAATATTCGCTTGTTTTATTAGTATTGTAATTAGAAAAAAAAGCATATAATAAATACAATAAGATATCACGTGACATTATATACTATACTAAGATATTAGGTTAATTATAATTCACATATTGTCTCCAACACATGTTACCTCTAACTATACTTATATTTGAAATCCATTTTTTTTCTTTTATTATTTTTATTTTTGGTTTAAAAATTGAAACGGATAGAAATAATTAATAAAAGGAACGCAGGCGGAAGCCAAAAAGGAGATTGATTATTTTAAAAAAATAAAAGGTACGAGGAGAAGTGGCGATGTGTAAGCTTGTAAAGCCACGCCATCAACTGTGAACAATATTTATTTAATTATAATATCTGATTATTTCCTTTTAATTTCAACCTCATATTGCCTGGTTGTCACTGCCCAAATGTCCTCCACGCATTATTTCATATATATATATATATAAATTACGAATTTAAATAGAAAATATTATTAAATTCAAGCTAGAGAGGCCAACTCAATAATTTAATATTTTGTAACCAATTGTGTTTCGAATCTCGTGGATACTAAAAACTTGTTGGTTTAAAGATTTCATGAAAAGAATAATTAATTAAAAAAAAAATACAAGAAAGACAAAAAGAAGGGAAGATTTTAATTTAATTTTATTGAATTTAGATATATTTTTTGTGGATGGGGGTGCCTTTTATCTGATGAAAGTTGAGACATAAGTCCGAAAGCGGGGAACGAGGACCCAAAAGCAATTCGTAATAAATAGAAGGTCATTTAAATAATAATATTTAATTTAATTTATTATTGTTGTTTTTGTGGGTTAATTGTTAAGCTTAAGCCCGATTGGGTCCAGTTTGGGTGGTTTGGTTAAGGGGTGGCTGGGCCTGAATTATTAAATGTATAAATAGGGGAGAAATGGAAATAATTAGTATAAAGTATGGGGGTAGATTTATAAAAGTAAAAGAAAAGGAAGGGGGAGGGGGTTTATATCCCTACAAATTAACCCTAAAGAGAATATTTATAAAAAGAAAAAAAAGAAAAAAAAAAGAAAAAGGAAAATAGATCATAGAACGGTTGTCACAGACAAGTGAGCGGGTTTTTCGCGAAAGGGGAGGGATGGGGGCAAAAGCTGGTGCGGTGACACGTGGAGGTGGGAGAACCATTAGATGAGGGGAGAATTATAGATGGGTGTGATGAAGATGATGTGAGCACTTGAGAGTTGGGATCCATGGGGAAGGAGAGGAGGAGGAGGAGGAGGAGGAAGAAGAAGAGAGAAAGGGAGTTGGATGGGGACTTAAATCGGGTTATGAGAAAGAGAACAAAAGAGAAAGAGAAAAAAAAGAAAGAAAAGAAAACTGCGCAGAGGAGAGAGAAAGAGAAAGGCATGGCGGCGTTGCAGAGAGAGGTGTAATTCTGGGCCATAAATGTGGATGTATTAGTAACACTGAGAGAAGGAAGAGGCAAAATTGAAAAAAAGGGGAATTCAAAGCGTGATTAACGCTGCCCCCACTAACACCCAGCAGCAGCAACAGCAGCAGAAGCAGCAGCAGCCAGCAGCCAGCAGCAGCAGCCACCAGGCACCAGCAGCTGCAGCAGTTTGGTAATTAACTACAACGCACACATCCTTCCCATCTCTCCTCTTTTTTTTTTTTTTTCTTTTTTTCATTCCGAACTAATTTCACGATTATTATTTACCAAATCCCCAAAACCCCAATTCTAGTCTCATTTCCTTTTCAATTTGTTTTTCAAAAAGATTATAATTCAAGCGCCCCCAATTCAGGCAGGGGGGGAGGAGGGGTTGGACCCTCTGATTATGGATTTTAGGTCACCCACAAATTCTGGGTCGGAGCAACAATGTCTGGCTTCTTCAGTTTAGGTGGAGGAGGAAGAGAAGAGCACCAAGACCATCAAGACCACCAAGAGCACCAACAAAACAACGACACAAACCCGGAGACCTTGTTTTGGTACAAGGGCAACGTGGAGCTATGGCAACAACAACACCACCACCACCAGCACCCTCAACAAGAACAGCCTCTCTTCCAAACCCAATCCCGGACTCCTTACTCCGCCGCACTACCCGTTCGAACCTCCGATGAGTCCTCCTCCAGATCGGGCAATTTCATGATGATTGGGTCAGGATCCGGGGGAGGAGGAATCAGCTGCCAAGACTGTGGCAACCAAGCTAAAAAAGACTGTGTCCATATGCGGTGCAGGACTTGCTGCAAGAGCCGAGGATTCCATTGCGAAACCCATGTGAAAAGCACTTGGGTCCCTGCCGCCAAGCGCCGCGAACGCCAAGAGAAACTCGCCGCCTTACAAACCCAGCATCAACTTCACCTTCATGGCGACAATAATCCCAAACGCCATAGAGATTATAACCCCACTTCCTCCTCTTCTCTCGCCTGCACTCTCATCCCCAACAACACTTCTGGTACAAATACAAATACAAATACAATCATCCCTTCCCCCACTTTTATTTATTTATTTTTTTAATTTAATTATATAATTTTAGATTGCGTGCTGCAGATGTCAAAACTTCCTCTCGCTATAGTAAACCCCATCACCTTTTTTTCTGTCTTCTTTACTTACTGTTATGCAGTATCCTGACGAGTTCATCCTCTGTGTTTAATCCCTAATCTTCCATTTTTTTTTTTCTAACTAAAATATTGTATTTAATTTTTTAGGGTTAGAAATTGGGAATTTCCCGGCGGAGTTGAACTCACCAGCAGTATTCCGTTGCGTTCGTGTGAGCTCCACCGACGAATCCGACGATCAATACGCGTATCAAACGGCGGTCAATATCGGAGGACATGTTTTCAAGGGAATTCTATACGATCAAGGACCCGAAACTAATTACATTCCACCAGCTGAGACCTCATCCGGTGGTGGTGGTGGTGGTGGTGGTGGGAGTAGTAGTGGAGTGCAACCATTGAATTTCATCACCGGCGCCACGGATGCGACCACCGCAAGCGGTGGTTCCTCCGCCGCATTACCCTTGCTCGATCCCTCCTCCTTATATTCAACGCCGCTGAATAGCTTCATGGCGGGTACGCAATTCTTCCTACCACCAAGATCTTAAAAAAAAAAAACAACTACATTGCTAAGCTATAGCTACGCAGCTTCATTTTTCATTTAACTCTTCCTGATCTCACGAACTCTTTCTCCATTTCTGTTTATTATGTCTACATTTCAATAGATCTGCTTAAAATTTGTAGTAAACCCAAAAACAAAACAAAAAAAAAAAAAACCCTTCACTTCACGATGCTTTATCATCCCCTCTTCTTCCATTATGTTTAAGAGCAAAATTGGAAAATAATGGTGAAAAGTGTCTTGTTTTATGTTTTTTTGGATTAAAATGTTGTTTTTGGTTCAAATTTCAATGCGTAGTTTTGAACATATAAAATTATTCTTCTTGAAATCCGAAGTCGTTTTTTGGTGTACGACATATTTGTGGTTGCGTAGAGTCTTGTGCTGTGTCTGTAAGTGTTTTTTTCACTTATTTTTCTTTATTTATAGTTTTCATCATTGTTCTTATTATTATTATTATTCCTTCTTGTCTTTCTCTTTTCATTTTCACTTATTATTATTTTCTTCAAATTTCCACCTCCTTTTTTCCTTCAATTCATTTCCTTTACCTTTCGCGTTCGTAGTTTATATCAACTTGCATTGTGACGATTTCATTGAATAATTCTTCATTTTTCGGTCCCTTGCCATGCATAAATTAAAAGCCCTACCTTAGCTTCTGGAAATTGTCATTCTGATGTTCTTCTTCTTCTTCTTCTTTGTCTGAGCTCATTATCTGATCTCATGTTTGCATGTCAACCATTCTTCTACGTAAACCGATCAAAAGGGTTCCTCCGGTGATTATTCTATTTATGGAATGGAATAATTAGTTGTCTGAATATCCTTCAATACAAGTTTCCTTAAATTTCTGGAATTATATGTTTTCTGTTTATACAATAAATGTGTTGTGTTGTATTGTGTGTATAATCCAATCATTGACATCTGTTTTTTCTTATACGTAATAATAATAATAATAATAATAATACAACAATATCTTATGAGTTCATTTCTTTGAATTGCGTTTTCTCATTGCTGTCTGAAAATTATCATCCCCCGGCCCCCCAACACGATGATGTGCATTAAGATCTGAAAATTTAGGTTGATTGGGTTGATGTTCACCAGTGATGGTTGAGCATTTTGGAATTGTGTATAAAAAATAGGATCTTTCCGGTGCCTCTACGTGTAAGAGCCGAAACCCACAAAACCCACTATTAGTATTAACAGATATTATTATCTTTGGGCTCCGGTTTCTAAAACGTGTAGGGAGAGGTTCAGGAGAACAAGGGAGAATGTGTATTAGTGAGTAAGAAAGGTTAAAAATGAAGGAAAGAAGGGATTAGGAGAGAAGGAAGGGAAGGGAAGCATTGACTATTTATGGGTGAATTTCAGAAAATTGGTGTCAAATCATAACACAACTTATACAGTATGAATGAGAGCGACATTCCACAACACATCCACACACAAACTCTACCCATAAAGTGTAAAAAAGCTAACAATTTATTTTATTTTTTTCACTCTATGAATGAATAAATATTATTATTATTATACTTTACTTTATGTGAGAAAAGCAAGCATCATAGGATTTGGAGGTTTTGTTTTTGTTCTCCTTGATCATCCCAACCCGGATATCATTTTCTGGAATTCAAATAAAAAAAAAAAATAAAAAGAAAAAAACCCCACAAAAGAAACAGTAAAAAGTAAAAAACTGGGTGTTTTCCCAACTCCATTGAAGAAGAAGCGATTCATCTTTTTTTACCAGAAACAGTGAAACACAAAACGAAAATTACTCACCTCATCAGCTCAGAAAATGGGAACTTCATGAAAGCCCAGAAAAGAGAATGTTGTTTATGCTGTTAGAAGAAGATGAAGGGTGAGTTGAGTGGTGGGGACTGGGGAAAGCGAAGGGCAGCCCGCAAATATAGAGGGAGAGTAGGTAGGGTTTGAGGGCTGGGTGGAAGCATAACAGAAACTGGGGGTGAGGGGTGGGGGGTGGTCCCTTAAAATTAGGGGAGAGTGCCCCTTATAGCTTAGGCCACACCCTAAAATCACTCCTTCTTCCTCCTCCGCGTGACATTTGACGCACAGAAAAATGGGGAGTTGCAGGCAAATGGCAAATGGCAAATGGCAAATGGCAATGGATGAAATGAGTTAAAAAGTCAGCGAGGGGTTTGTAGAGAGAGGGAAAGTGAAAGAGTGAGAGTTGTTTTTGGAAGGCCATTTTGGTAAAAGCACGTAGTCAGGGCAATGGGTCAGAGGCTCAGAATCAGCCTCAGGGGCTTGCTTCTTCTGCTCATCAATTGTCTCTTCAATCTATTATTTATTTATTTATTTAGTATATATTTATTTTATTAATAATTATGTAATGTATCACATGATGGTAAAGGTGATGAAATTAAATTTGTTGGTTATTTAGGTCTGCATAGGGCCACTCTATTATAGCATGGAAATAGTATAGGCCGGTGCCTAAAATTGTCAACCTTGTATCTCCATTAACATTTTGTTCTTCCTTACAAACTAAGCTTTTGGCATCATCTACTCTCACACACCTCATTTCTCAATCCATATATGTTTCTTTCCTTTCCATTTTTGTCCTACCGTTCGAACCGTCTGCTTTTCGAATCATTCGAGCTAGTGTCCATTACTTACCGATGTGGAATAATAAAAATTTATAAAATTTTAAATATGTCAACATGTGTATGCGGTGTTGTTGCAAGTTTAGACGGTTTGAAATATGTGAAACACAACAATTACAAGACGTGTACAAAAGAAAATCTAGACTTGGATATGACATGATTTCTATAGCCAATGGTCATGATCCGTCTCAAAAGAAAATTTAAGAAAAAGGGTTCAGTGTTTTTTACATACTTAGTAAGCAACTTGTTGGTAGTTCATATTTCGTTTTGTTTAGTCTCTTATTTTGTTTTAGGGTAAGTTTTTCTTGGGCTATGCACTAGGTTTGTTTGTTCAACCTAAGCTCAACTTAGGGTAATTTAGTGGAAACTCGTTCGAGTTTTAGTTCTTGGTCCTACATGGACCTCCAACCCTCGAAATTTCTCTTAGGTTCTTTAGGTCTTCTTAATTGCTTTTTTTTTTTTGTTCTTTTTTTGCTAGTCTCTTTCTCATCAAAGTTGACCTATATTGTATCGTAGACTATCGAGGTGGGACCTTCACATAAGTTATAATTCTCATAACATTCATGCATGCTTAGTTTTGCCAAACCTCAAGGTATACTATGGGCTTTTTCCATTTGTGACAGGTACACTAAAAGGAAATTGAACTCCTTAATGATGCTCACATGTATAATCATAAATCATAGGTCAGTTCTACCGTTATCTGAAACCCCAACAATCAAGTCAGATTTTGGATTAGATTTTGGCCTGGAACTCCTAATTATCCCCGTATAATCGCATAAAAGTCTCATGCACGAATAAATTATTATCAAATTTAGCCAACTCTAAGGCTTCAACTGTGAACGCCTGGTGCTCGTGACAGGTTAGTAACCAATTTTATTGAAAGCAAGTTTTGACACGAAATTTGGTAGAACATATTGAAAAAGTGAAAAGGTTGGGTGACTCACAAACAAGTGTTTCTTTTGTCCCCTAATATGATTGAGACTCTAAAGTGAATGGGAAAAGTTGGAAAAGAAAAGTTATAAAAGCTTAGTTTTTTATCTTCTTTAGTCTGATAGCAATGAGGAAAAGAATAACAATTATGGAAGATGATTAGCCCAAGGCATGAAAATTAAAAAAAGAGATACCATGTATGTCATTGATGGTCTTTACAAGGGGTAACACATTCATGTAAGAGTTTGTGCAAGCTTAGGGCATTGAATATCAAATTAGGTTTCGACGTAAAGTAAATATATAATGGTATTATTGTAATAGCTCAAGGTCACTGCTAATAGATATGTATAATTGTCAACTTTACGGTTTTAAAACGCGTCAACTTCACGGTTTCACGGTTTTAAAACGTGGAATCTCACAATCCAACCAACCCTTGCGACCCAATGTACTTGTTGGCACATTACTCGATGTCTAACCTGATCTATTACTAGTAGATACTGTTCACTTTAGCTCATTACATTAAAATGCATATGCTAGATGGACTCGTTCAAGAGCATACTCAAGATTATGCTTAAAAAGAAATCACCATCCATATTTTCATAATCCAAAAAAAAAAAAAAAAAAAAAAATCTTAGAAAAACAACCATCCAAAATATTTTCACTGAATTTTTGTCATAGAAGCAGAAATTGTCCCCCGAAAACAGCCTTATTTTTCATTAGAAAAGAAGAAAAAGAAATCTAGTTTTCTGCTCAATTCATCATTCATTCTCCTTCCATAACTCTATTTCCTTTTCTTTTATTTTTTTTAATATTCATACATTTTAATTTTATTTATTTTTATAGATTGTTTAATAATAGGATGGGTATGGATGTAATTTCCCAAACTTGTCTAATCTCTGTACTTTTACTTTCAGCGTTGGTTTGGTTTGTAGGGTTGGACATGGGAACAGAGATCTTTTCGTAGATTCACTTCTGAGATGTGAGTCTGGAGATTAGACTTCATCTTCCTTATTACTTCCAAATGCTTTCCTATACTTTTACAGTAACATCAACTCGAATGAATTAAGGGAAGCAGAATTTCACCCCTAATTACGCATACATTTGATCATAGACACAGCTTTAAAGAATTTTAAACATTCAAGGGAATTTAGCTCAGATAATGGCACTATTATGTAGCGTATATCTAGGCAGAAGTATCGATCAGATTGCAGTGCTAAAATGTTCAAATTTAATTGACGGAGATGGAGGTGGGGGGAAGGAATCTACAATCAAACTAAGGTACAAAAAGGGTTCAGGCTGAAAATCTTTTGATGGGTTTACATTCTACTCTCCTGTATAAATTACATCTCCAAATATACGAAAATGACGCAACGATAGTGATCCTCCGTTAATATCTCTTAAACCAAAACATTTCATTCGACTGTTTCTTACTTGCTTACCGACTGGCGGATGGCCGTGGCTTTCCCTTTATAGAATTCAAGTGTTGGGTAACGAATATGACTCCCATTACAAGTATGAGGCAACCAACAAGCGTGCTGAAAAAGAGGGCCCCTGGTTGCCTGGTCTGGACAAAGCCATACACACCAGTAGAGGTCACAAGGATAATATCGGTAAGACCATCGTTCGAGAAGTCC